GGCTGATGGCGCTGGACCCCATGGAGCTGCGCATCGTGCAGAACTGCGGCACCGACAAGGAGAGGCGCTACGCCCGCCGCATCGAGCCCATCCGCCGCAAGGGGAACTACCTGCTGTGCTCCCTGCTGCTGGGGAACGTGCTGGTCAACACCACCCTCACCATCCTGCTGGACGATCTCATCGGCTCCGGCATCGGCGCCGTCGTCGCCTCCACCATCGGCATCGTGATCTTCGGGGAGATCGTGCCCCAGGCCCTGTGCTCCCGCCACGGCCTGGCCGTGGGGGCCAACACCATCGTGGTCACCAAGTTCTTCATGCTGCTCACCTTCCCCCTCTCCTACCCCATCAGCAAACTCCTGGACTGCATCCTGGGCCAGGAGATCGGCACCGTGTACAACCGGGAGAAGCTGGTGGAGATGCTGAAGGTGACGGAGCCCTACAACGACCTGGGCAGGGAGGAGCTGGACATGATCCAGGGGGCCCTGGAGCTCCGCACCAAGACGGTGGAGGACGTGATGACCCCCCTGCCCAACTGCTACATGATCAACCGGGATGCCATCCTGGACTTCAACACCATGTCAGAGATCATGGAGAGCGGCTACACCCGCATCCCCGTCTACGAGGAGGAACGTTCCAACATCATGGACATCCTCTACGTCAAGGACTTGGCTTTTGTGGACCCCGACGACTGCACCCCTCTGAAAACCATCACCAAGTTCTACAACCACCCCATCCACTTTGTCTTCCACGACACCAAGCTGGATGCCATGCTGGAGGAGTTCAAAAAGGGTGAGGGGGGGGGGGTTGGGGTGGGTCGCTTCTTTCTCCTTCCCCTTGGAGGCTGGGGGATGTGGGAGGTGAAACTCCCAAGGAGTTCCACCCTCTGGAGTCCCCACAGTTTGGGTGGTGGCCACCTGGAGGGGGCTGGGGACATGAGGACAGGCAGCATGACACCAAACCAGGGCCATCTGCTCCATTCTGGGACTCCTTGGTTTGGTGTGTCCTGAGGAGGTAGAACCAGGGTTTCTCCTGATGCTGGAGGAGCCTCCAGAAACACTTTTGGGAATGTTGACTTGTTCCTTGTTTTTAATTACTGGCCCTGGAGGCCCTTAAATAACTGCTGGAAAATTGCTGGGCTCCCCAGGATTGGGTTTGGCTCCCTCCTCTGGGACCTTCCCAGTTTCCAACCCTGCTCCTCTTCCTGCTGGAGGCATCAGGGCACCTAAATCCCACAGTGGGAGGAGGATCAGGACCTGGGCTCACCGGAGGTGGCTGATCCCACAAGGAGCAGGAAAAGCTGCATTAGCTGCCAGGCAGGATTTGAGCTGCCCTGGGGGTGGAAATCAAGAGCTGGGTGGTGGGGTGGCCCTGCTGGGTGATGCCACCCTATGTCACCCTGTCACCCTGCCACACCCCGCGGGCAGGGCTCGGGGCACCTCGCCAGATGGGACCTTCTGCCTTCAGGGAGGGTTTTTGGGAGTTGTGGTTGAGATGTAGGAGATCTACTTGTTTCTTGCTTGGTGGGAGCTTAGGAGGTCAGAGCCTGGCTGAGCTCTGGGGGGTGGCAGCTCTGCCATGACTGGGACAGTTGTTGGTGACACTGTGACAGGCTGGGAGGGTTGGGGTGTTGAGCCTGGAGAAGAGAAGGCTCCAGGGAGACCTTAGAGCAGCTTCCAGTGCCTGAAGGGGCTCCAGGAAAGCTGGGGAGGGACTTGGGACAAGGGCAGGGAGGGATGGGATGAGGGGGATGGATGAAAACTGGGAGAGGGAGCTGGAGGTTGGAGATGAGGAGGGAATTCTTTGGTGTGAGGGTGGTGAGAGCCTGGCCCAGGTTGGGCAGGGAAGCTGTGGCTGCCCCATCCCTGGGGGTGTTGAAGGGCAGGTTGGATGGGGCTTGGAGCAGCCTGGGCTGGTGGGAGGTGTCCCTGCCCATGCAGGGGGTTGGATCTGGATGATCCTTCAGCTCCCTTCCCACCCAACCCATCCCATGATCCCGTGACCCCCAAAACCACCAGGATGGCTCCCACTGCCCAGCTAAGGTGCCACCAGCACCGATGGGCTCTCACACAGAGCAGCTGTGCCTGCTGACAAACCTCCCTGGCAAACCCTTGAGTTCATCCCCCCTCTACTTGGATCTCCAGCAGGTCCTTCTCACCCCCCCTGGCCCGACAAAGCATCCAGGGGCAGAACCCCCCTGCAGGCAGAGCTGCAGTTATCCCGGCTGCCTGCGCCGGCTTTTCCCTCCGGCGAATCCCGATTAAAGGATTTACAGCCGCTCGTTCCGGTTACAAAACCACCCCTGCCCTGTATTGTTGTTTTTCCATCCCTGGGTCAGGAGCAGAGGGGGTTGGTGGGGGTTGGTTTTCAGGTTCCCCTGAGATCCTTGTGGATGCAGAGAGTGGTCACATCCCACCCAGCTGGACCTGGGGAAGCAGGGAGGTGTACCCAGGGAAAGGAGAAAGGGCCATGGAGACCTTAGAGCAGCTTCCAGTGCCTGAAGGGGCTCCAGGAAAGCTGGGGAGGGACTTGGGACAAGGGCAGGGAGGGATGGGATGAGGGGGATGGATGAAAAGTGGGAGAGGGAGCTGGAGGTTGGAGATGAGGAGGGAATTCTTTGGTGTGAGGGTGGTGAGAGCCTGGCCCAGGTTGGGCAGGGAAGCTGTGGCTGCCCCATCCCTGGGGGTGTTGAAGGGCAGGTTGGATGGGGCTTGGAGCAGCCTGGGCTGGTGGGAGGTGTCCCTGCCCACGGCAGGAGTTTGGATCAGGATGACCTTTCAGGTCCCTTCCCACCCAAACCAGTCCATAATTCTATAATTATACAAGTAGAGTTGCCTGGTGCCCACCCCTGGAATCACCTCTGTTCTGAGGAACAAGGAACCACAAATCCAGTCACAGGTGGTGGTGGGAAGGGCTGGTTCATGCAGGGGAGGGTGACAGGGCAGTTTCTGCTGGCCTGGGGGCAAGTGTGGAGCTTGAGGAGGGAAAAGGGATTTTGTTTCAGGCTGTGTGAGGTGAGGGAGGGAACATCACCTTCTTCTGTGCCTCAGTTTCCCCAGGCTAAGGATACTGGTGCTGCGGGTGCCTTGGCCTTGGTTGGGCACCTGGTGGTTTTCCATGCTCAGATCCTCTTCTTGGAGCAGAGGTGGATGTTCCTTCTCCTCTGAGGAGCTTTTCCTGATGGCTTGGCATGACTTTGGGAGGAAGGAGGAGGAACATTCACTTCATGGAGAGGCTCAGTGAGGCAGGAACGATGGCAGCTTCGAGGAGAGTGGGAGGTTGGGATTTAGATCCTTGGAAAGCTCTTTCCACCAGGACCTGCCTGCTCCTGGTTGGGACCACCAGGCTATTTTGCCTCAGGGCCAGAGTGTTTCCTGTGGGATGGGACATCCCCGGGTCACCAGGGGAGTTTGGAGAGGCTGGATCCTCTGGCAGCAACTCGTGGCTGTGTCATCCTGGTGCCCTCAGCCCAGGGACAGTCACCGGGGCCACCAGGCTGGTGCCAGGCTCTGGTGACGTGGCACAGGCTCCTCCAGGCACAAGTGCCATCTCCTGTGAACCCCCTGGCCATCCCCACACCCCTCAGAGGTGTCTTCAGCCTCGCGGGCGCCGCTGTCACAGCCTTAATTACTGTCATTACCCTGGCAATTAGTGCCCAGCCCAGGGGCTCGTTTAGATTTTAACTGGTTTATTGTTTCCTGTTGGGAGGGAAGGGCTGGTCCTGGTGACACCCCTGGGTGCTGGCACCCAACGGTGGGGTGATCCAAGGGCTGGAGCAGCTCTGCTCTGGAGCCAGGCTGGGAGAGTTGGGGTGTTCAGCCTGGAGAAGAGAAGGCTCCAGGGAGACCTTAGAGCAGCTGCCAGTGCCTGAAGGGGCTCCAGGAAAGCTGAGGAGGGACCTGGGACAAGGGCAGGAAGGGATGGGATGAGGGGGGTGGATGAAACCTGGGAGAGGGAGCTGGAGGTTGGAGATGAGGAGGGAATTCTTTGCTGTGAGGGTGGTGAGAGCCTGGCCCAGGTTGCCCAGGGAAGCTGTGGCTGCCCCATCCCTGGGGGTGTTGAAGGGCAGGTTGGATGGGGCTTGGAGCAACCTGGGCTGGTGGGAGGTGTCCCTGCCCATGCAGGGGGGTTGGATCCAGATGGTCTTCAGCTCATGGGATGGTTTGGGTTGGAAGGGACCTTCAAGACCACCTGGATGATCCCCTAGATGATCTTCAAGGTGGTTTTCCCATCCCTGGGGGTGTTGAAGGGCAGGTTGGATGGGGCTTGGAGCAACCTGGGCTGGTGGGAGGTGTCCCTGCCCATGCAGGGGGTTGGATCTGGATGATCCTTCAGCTCCCTTCCCACCCAAACCATTCCATGATCTCCCTTCTCACCTCCCTCTGTCTGTCCCCAGGGAAGTCCCACCTGGCCATCGTGCAGAAGGTGAACAACGAGGGTGAGGGAGACCCCTTCTATGAGGTGCTGGGACTGGTGACACTGGAGGATGTCATAGAGGAGATTATCAAGTCGGAGATCCTGGACGAGTCAGATGCCTACAGTAAGTTTGTGGCTGGGCCCCTCCCCCCCCTCCATGGCATTTTGGGGGGGCTTCTGGTTCTCTGCCCCCCCTGAAACCTCCCTGTCTTCAGCCGACAACCGCAACAAGCAGAAGATGGACAACCAGAAGAGCAAGAGGGACTTCTCAGCCTTCAAGGACCCTGACGCTGAGCTGAAGGTGAAGGTCTCCCCACAGCTGCTGCTGGCTGCTCATCGCTTCCTCTCCACCGGTGAGATTTGGGGGGTGGGGGAAGCCCCCCCATGGCTCCTGGCACCCCTGGGCTCAGTCTGGCTGTGCTGGGTCCCTGCTGAGGGAGCTCCAAGCCACCCCTTCCACCGTCCAGCTCACCCCTCCAACCCACCCCTCCAACCACCTTGTGTGTCATGTCCCTCTCTCCTGCTCCCAAAATGAGAAGGGACAGGGCTCAGTGATGCCTCTGATGCTCTGCAGGTCCCTGTCCCTCCAGGATAGTCCTGTTCCCCAGCTGGCACAAGTGCCCCCAAGGCTGGAGCTGGCCTTGATGGAGACATGGAGCTGGTGGTGGGACCAGATCCACGGGCTTGTGCCTGAAGGAGCTGTCCTCAGCCTGATCCAGGGAACCACCCGAGGGATGGGGGACACAAACTGTCATCTGGAGGGAGAAAGCATGTGGCTCTGACCCTCTTTTCCCCTCAGAGGTGACACTCTTCACCCCCAACTACATGTCAGAGAAGGTCCTGCTGCGGCTCCTCAAATATTCTGACGTCATCCACGAGCTGAAGTTTAATGAGCAGAATAAGAAATGTTCCGAGCACTTCCTCTACTCCAAGAACAAGGCAGCTGACTACTTCATCCTCATCCTGCAGGTACCCAGCTCCCCTGGGTGAATCCTCCTCCCAGGAGGGCTACCATGGAGGGCAGAAGGGTCTTCTCCAGGGCTGTGGTTCCATCTATCTCTCCCTGGCAGGGCAAGGTGGAGGTGGAGGCTGGCAAGGAGTGCATGAAGTTTGAAGCAGGAGCCTTCTCCTACTATGGGGTGATGGCCCTTGGCTCCCCTTCTGGGTCTGGTGAGTGCCCCTCAAGCCCCTCACCCTGGCTTAGAGCCACCAGTGGAGATGCTGGAGGCTCCAGGCCCCCAAAGGTGTCCCTCCCCAAGAGCCATCCGGGGGGGCTGGCACGTGTCCTTATGGAGACACCTGGCAGAGGGTCCGTGCCTGGTTTGGGGGTCACCTCCAGGCTCTGCAGTGCCACCCTCGTGACTCTGGGTGCCATCAGGGGGGTCACTGGCACCGTGAGGGGCAGAGGTCCCTGCTGCCACCCTCTGCTTTGCCCTCAGGTGTCTCTTGAGGGTGTCACCTGCCAAACTCCCTGTGACCTCAGTGACCCGCCCTCGTGGTGTCCCCACCCCGTTTATGCAACACTTGAGTATTTTCTCCCCTACTCACTGTCTCCTCTGGCTTCCTTGTGCCAGGAGAACCTCCTGGTGCCTCCAGTGGCTTCCTCACCCCACAGCCAAGTGTCTCCAGAGGAGGAAAAGTGCCTCCTGCCCCCCTGTGGGACAGCACCAATGTCACCGTGTCCCACTCATGGTGGCATTAGGGTCCCACGTGCCCTGAAACTGCCCTGATTTCTCCTGTGGGTGCAGCAGAGGAGCAAGGGGACAGTGCTGGATGTTCCCATATCACTCTGGTGGCTGTCCCTGTGCAACTCTGGTGGCTGTCCCTGCAACACCAGTCATGGTGCCTGTCCCCACACCAGCCAGGTGCCTGTCCCCACACCAGCCATGGTGCCTGTCCCCACACCAGCCATGGTGCCTGTCCCTCACCAGCCATGGTGCCTGTCCCCTCACCAGCCAGGTGCCTGTCCCCTCACCAGCCATGGTGCCTGTCCCCTCACCAGCCATGGTGCCTGTCCCCACACCAGCCAGACAGTGAGGAGGTGCCACTCTCCCAGCTGCTCCACATGGTTCCAGTGTCACCCTGGCTTCCCAAGCACATCACCAGGACCCCCATGTCCCCATAACCCCATCACTTCATCCACAACCCCACTCAGGGCGACTGACCCACCATATCCTCAGGTTGGGATTGTCCCTTGTCCCCTCACCCCAGGGCAGGGGGAGGCTGGGGACTCCTTGGCCATGCCTGGTGGCCATTCCCTAGGGATCAAACCTGGCAGTGCTGGGGGACACGGGGCTGTGGACACACGTCCTGTCCCTCCTTGTCACCACCCACCGGAGCTGGCACCGGGTTCTCAGCACCTTGTCACCATCCAGCAGGTCCTCCCGGGGGGCTGGGGGTTCTGCCTGGTGTCTCAGCTGTCCCTGCTGTCCCCGCAGAGACCCGCTCCCCGTCCCACGTGGGCAG